GAGTTTTTATTCAAAAGTTTCTATTAAATTTTGAACAAGATATAAAATAAATTCAAAATTCGGTCTTTAAAGTGTACATGGTTGGGTGGAGGATTATGTGTATTCAAAATTTGGTGGTTCTAAGTGCTACAATGCGATTGAATTCAAAAGACAAATATATTAATATATTCCAGTTTGCTCAGGGGCAACACATTTCTTTTATGTCACTGAGTTTTCTAATTAAATTTGAAACATAAATATCTTACACTTTGCAAAATGGCATTACAAACCTTATAAAATCTCTGAGTTTTTAATTAAAAATTACTTAAATTCACACTAAATATGAAATAAATAGAAATCATATTTCTAATTCCAGCTTTGAGATGTTCATGTTTGGGTGGAGGACTGTGTGTTTTCAAATTCTGATGGCTATAGGCTTCACAATGTGAGGAACATACAGACGTATGCATGTGCAAATTCGTCATTATTTATTAGTAGATTTGAGGAGTGAAAGTACATTACATCACTGCTGGGTCATACAATGATGTATAGTTGCAATTTTGGGTTACTGTTCAATAAAAATAGATCAGCCTATCAAGTTGTTACATATAGTTTCAGCTGCATAGGGCGTCTTGACACTGCCATGAAGATATCAGCTTTTTTTAACAGCCTTCATATGGTCTGAATTCAGCTGTAAATGACATTTTAGGCCCTTTAAAGCTCACTTTGGTTTGTATGTTTCATATTTGATATATATATATATATATATGTATACGTATATATATGGGCCTAAAGTTTCCTTTGTAGCTGCAGCATCAACCCTAAGACATTTGTACAACAAATATTTTGGCTTTTATACATGATTAGTGTTTCAATATAGGTATGGATTACATGGAAAGATAAAACTGATCATTATACAGGTACATGTTCCATTTTTATTTATGAAGCCATTTATAACCTATTTATTGACTATTCTATGCAATTTTATTAACATTTCTATTAATTATCTATGCAATTTTATTATAAAGTTGTTTCCCCTTGTAACATGTAGGGTAAGGCTGAGCAAGTCGTACCTTTTAAATATTAGACATAATATAACAGGCAAAACAAATTGCTCCCTAGTCAGTCGTGTTGTTTCACATCATCTTTGTCTCTCTGTAATATTTGTGAGGAAGACCATGAAGAGAATATGATTCAGTGCCTAAAATGCAAAGGATGGTTACATGACTTATGTACTCGAGTTGACAAGAAGTTAAAAAATATCTTTGTGGTCATTGTTGTAGTTAATTGTATACTTAACTTAATTGAGAAAATAAAAATTATATCATAATTTTAGGTGGTACGACTTAGAATACTGGTTGCCTAAGTCAACTGCATAAGTTGTATTAAGTTCATGTTATAAATTTTATTAACTTCATCCAAGAGAGTAGATTGTATAGAATTTTAATGTAATTGATATCATCAATGGCAATACAATATATTATTATCTCACATAACTTTTATTTTATTCATAGATCCTATGATTTATACCCTTTTTACTTTGGGAGTATGACCTTACGCAACCTTATCCTATATTAAGAAAGCGAAGGTCACTCCATTCATGCCTTCCACCTTATGTCATCAGATAAGTGTTATCAAATATAGAGAAATAAGATTAGTCCACAAACTTTCCGAATAGACTACATATACAGAGAATGTTGGCACATTTTTAGAATGATTTCGGGGCTATGTAATTAATGTCTAAAATGTAAGTCCTTTCTTCTGGGCTATAAGTCTGCATCATTGTCCATGATAGAAAGGCTTTTCATAAAATTTTGAGGGATATTGATTCCCATTTCTCTGCCACTGCTTTCCAAAATCCATCAGTCATAGTGGGTTTGTGTTTATAATGAGCTCTTTTCAAGAGATCAAAGGTGCAGTAGTTCATAATGACAGGTGACTTCACTGGAATTTGTTGAAAATGTGTATTTGCAAAACATTTATCAGTTTTCAATTTTCAAAGAATGCAGTGATACTTTGTGAAGAGTGACTTGTTGCTTTATCGTGATAAAGTTTCACTCTTTAAAAGTCATTGGGATAAACAAATAGAATTTTTGTAAATATCAGACATGAAATTTCCTTTTAATAATATGTTAATTTTAATATTTTTTCCCACTCCTGTTACTTGTAATTTCTCATTGTAAGAAAATCTTGCAACAATCACTGCTTATTGAAATTTTCTTTGCTTTCATGGAACCAGGCTTGTATATTTTTTCCCCTCTTTATTTGCTATAAGACCTTTTTTTGTTTTTTTACTACAGTCATTATAGTAAACCCATGCTTCATTTCCGTTTATCTCCTACTAAGTAGTTTTCATACAGAGTCCTACAAATTGTTCTCTGTTGAGGTGCATTCAATGGATTTTGATGAACATTGCTTTTTTTTTTTTTTTTAAGTTGTAAACATCTGTTTATTCTTTTATTTGTTGTTGCTACAGATGCATTTAAAGTCTTTGCAATTGATTTCTGCTTCTGCATATATTCTCTTGCTACCACTGATTTAACTTAGAAACAGTATGCACATTTTTTGGGTATTCATTTATAGTCTTCTTTCCAAGTGAAAGTAATTATTGAGTTTTTCCCCTTTCCAGTTAAAAATGTTCCTTATTTTGGAGTTAAAAAAGTTTAATACCGTGGATTTCACTACATTTTTGAATCATGGAATAGAAATATTTTTCTTTGGAAAGCATTAAAACTTATTTTTCTATCAACAACTTGTTTACATGCAACAGAGTTGCTAAGTCTCCCAGTTTAATTCGGAAACTCCAGGTTCCTGACTTTACTCCTGCCAACCTGTTTTACACAATATTTCTCTCAAATTTCTCTTACTCTTTAAATTTCTCGCGATTTTTATGTAGTTTGGTATTATACTTCATTAGTTGCACCCAGGAAAGGGATTTTTGGCTTTTTGAAAAATGCTTAGTTTGGGTTTAGATTACATATGAAAGAAAACAGAAGTATTTCATTAGTGAAACTATGGCACACTTTTGCTTTGTGTGTGAGAGAACAGGTGTGAAAGCATCATTTCCCAGTTCTTCGGTGAGCTTCAAGCATCACTGTGGGTCAACTGGCATATGTTAGCCAATGAGCACAAACAAGGTCAAGGTTGTTGCTTTGTTGGTCTCCTGCTGAGCTGTGAGTTTCTCTTACTTATGAGATATAGTTTAAGAAATTTAAATCTTTTGTGTTAGTTATATCTGCTAAAACGGTAAAATACTCATGTACTTTTCAAAATTCATATACAGATGAGTTCTATTATTTAATCAAGGAAATGCAATATATTTGCAGTGTGAACCATTTGTCACCTTGATTTGTGGACTTCGATGGATGAAGGACCAATTTTTTTAAACATGTGTGTACACAAAAACACTAGGACAATGTGAGTTGTATTATTTTTTTTTTTTTTTTTTTTTTTTTTTTTTTTTAACCCACTTAAATTTACTGGGGAAGCAAAGGACCAAAAAGTTTTTAATGCAGAATTTCTTTTCTCCACCCTTTTTAGTGGAGCACAAGCTGCATCAGATCATGCTGCAGATTTCTTTTGAAAATGTTTCCCATTAGTGATATAGCTAAGAAATACTTAAATGCAATGACAAAAATGGCAGAAATTGTTAAAAGAAATGTGTATAAAAAATAAATCTTTTCTTATTGATTGCATTAAAACAGCTTCACTCTGTCTCTCTTCGAATGGAAGTAATAATACCAATTCAAAATTGTATACAATTATTGTTTCTTTTCTTAATCCAGAGTCTTCAGAAATTGAGTGTAGTTACTTTCTGTCCTCACTTTAAAAAGAGATTTAACACTCTTTGATATAGCACAGCTAATTATTAAAACTTCAAAAGGAAATGCAGTTCTTCTGGGTAACTGCTTAGCATTTGGTGATGATAATGTAAAGTAATGGTAGGCATGAAGACTGATATTACAGTCATCTTAAAAAGAAAGGGGGGAATTCAGATTTGCAAATTATGAATTGCACCTGTCACCTCTAAAATTTAGCAGCTGAGAACAGCAGTTACCAATAAGTGTGAATGAACATCTTATTGATATTTATTACTATCTTGCTAAAAGGAAGGAAAATTTGAAGCAATTCCAACAGCTGCATATTACTGAAATAACCAAAATTTTGAAACTTGTATGTACATGGTGGTTATCTTTAAAGAAATGTTTATCTAGAATACTCAATCAATAGAGCTCACTTTTTACTTTGTTAAGGAAGAGGTAAATGCTTCTAAAGCTAAGGTAAAGACTTTATTGAAAGTTATAAAATAAAGTAAATGGAGATGTAATTGCTACTTTCACTGTTAGAAATAGATATAAAAAAAAATAATAATAAAGTAATTTTTGCACCTGTGAGCATATTAATTGGCAATTTTCAAAATAATGCTACTAAATATAGGGATAAAGATGCTACAAAGTCCTCTTAAAATAAAAAATTGTTTAACAAGTGAAACATTTTCCGATTACAGTAAGTTTATCTCTTGAAGAATGAATATTTATGTCTTTGAACCCTAACTTTTTATTATTATTATTATTATTATTATTATTATTATTATTATTTTTTTTTTTTGTTATGCTCCATTTTACAATCATTCAATATTCTTAACACAATTCTACAGTGTAGATTTACATTAATTTATGTTTTGGAATCAGTGATTTCATAAGGGCACTTTATGAAAGTTTGTAAAACCAGCTTTTGTTTTGTCTTCTAATTTTACATATCAAGATGAACTTGAATTTTGAATTCTGCATTTCTGTTTTCAGTTTGCATAATAACTGGAATTCTTCTGTGAGTTAAATAAATTGGTGGTATTTATTTAAAGCATTATTTATATAATGTTATTGAACACTACCTTATACAGACTTTACCTTACCAGACCTTGTACTGATAAAAGCGTGTTAACTGCTTAGGCTGAGAAATCCCTGACCTTTATGGAAACTTTCAGCTTTATTTTTAAATATATAATATTGTATTCATTTTAGGTATTTCTCTCTGTTCATGAACTTGTTAAATGAATGTGGTGATTCAACTGAAGAAAAAGATGTTTCACGCCACAGGGTCCATGTGTCCAGGTTAAGTGAGCTGAGAACATGCACTATTCAAGCAATGTCTAATCTTTTGAGTGCCAATGTTGATAGTGGATTGATGCATTCCATAAGTAAATGTTTTTATTTATTTTTTATTTTTCCTAAGTTGTTAATGAAATATAAGAATGCATGTTTTGTGTCTTCCCATTATTACTATACTACCAGATATTAAAATTGCTACATCCTTAGTGAGCAGAATCGTACTGATTTTACAAATGCATTATTATAGAAGAATAAAATGATGAAAATTTCAGGTAATTCTTGGCACAGAACATGCAGCAATCAGTCCTCTGAACATCCTCATCCAACTGCAGTTGCGATTGTTATATTGCTGACCATAGTGTTGAAAAGACTTTGGATGACATTTTGGGATTTTGCAGTCCATGTGACTTCAGTTCTATAGTAGAGTTCATCTGTCATTCGGGCTGGCAATTGTTGTTAATGCCATTCACTTTGCAGCCATTGACCAGTTTTTAATAAGTGAGAAATTTGGAAAGGTGTCGTTCAAGCTTGAAGTCAAACATTCTGAGTATTGAAGAAATGTAAGACAATGTGAGCAACATATGGTCTTTCAATTGTTCTGCTATAAGCTGCTATAACAGAAATACTGAAAATATGGCACAGACATAGGAATTAAAAACACAGTAATGTAATTGTGGCTGGTCAAAGTACTGGATGTACAAATGAGAACTAAAGATAAACTGAATGTGTACTCTGGCACCTCATATCATCAGCAGATGTACTGGGCTGATATTACGATGACATACCTGCCAACTTTTACGAATTTTTCGTAATTTTTATGAAAATGCGTTTGTCCTTACGATTTTACGATCGTAATCCATTTTTTACGATTTTTTTCCTTTTTCAAGTGTTTTTAGTGATTTTTGTCGAAATTTTAGAATTTTCGCCAGTTGCATCGTGTTTTACCGCCAACTACCGACTACTTCGAATCCAGTAACCTGCGGTTTCTCCCAACTCGCTGCATAACCAGTCAATCCAATGCGCTGAACTTGTTTCTCCCACTCTTTTCTTTGTGGGTGCCAGATTATTTTTTTTTTTCGTGTTCGCTTCAGCAGCAAGGGAATTACTCAGCTCGGACTCAGCGAGCGTGGATTGTCGCATTCTTTTTTTTTTTTTTTTTTGTTTGTTTGCATGTGCTGCGAATTTACGAAATGAGTTAAAAAGAAACCGTATTCTCAATATTTTCGGCCTGCCTACAAAGCCGAATTTCCAACAATTAAAGAATCCTTCAAAGGAAATAACTATGCATTTTGTAACATGTGCATGTGTGACTTCATAATAAGTCACTGACATTGTGAAGCATGTTAAGTCTAAAAAGCATAAAGTTAATGCTTCGGCTTCGACAACATCAAAGAAAGTGGATGATTTTTTTTCAAATTCGGCTACGAATTCGGATGCCGATGCCATTTTGGCAGAGTGTTTGTTTACTGCATTCCTCATCGAACGCAATGTGCCGCTAAGCGCTGCCAATCACGCCGGTCAAGACGGATGTTTCCGGACTCCAAGATTGCTCAGAAATATGCTTGTGCTCGCACGAAAACATCTTCTATTGTGAACGAAATTGCTTGCGATGCACAAAGTAAAACGATAGCTGCACTCCAGAATTCAGCATTTTCGGTGTCAATCGATGGCAGCAACGACAGCGATTGGAAGCTTTACCCCATCGTTGTCACATATTTCTGTGATGTTTCTAATGAAATGGAAACTCATCTTTTGCATCTTCCATTGTTAAATGGAGACGCTACGGGGGAAAATATTGCCTCCTTGGTAATTAATGAGTTGAAACAACATTCCAATATCAAACTGCATTTCATTTGGTGCAGATAATGCTCATGTCAGGGTGGGTGACAAAAAGGGTGTAGCCTCTTTCCTCAAAAAAGAACAAAATGAGTTAATTGTTATTGGATGCCCATGCCACTTAATTAATTTGGCAGCAGAAAAAGCTGCAGCTGCTTTACCATTAAATATTGACCAGCTTCTGATTGATGTGTTTTTCTATCTGGAAAAAAGTGTAAAATGGAAACATATTTCTAAAGAATTTCCAAGAACTGTGCTCTGGTAAAACAAGAAAAATTCTGAAACATGTATGCACGAGATGGTTATCCTTAGGCAGAGCGCTAGGAAGGTTTATTGAACAGTGGGATGCATTGCTAAAATATTTCCACGAAGAGACCAAAACGAAACCACAGATCCCATCAAATTTGTCGGCATATAAGATTCCGAAAACCAACTTTGCTTCTAATAAAAATGCTTTAAAAGGGAGAAGCCAACACACAGAATCAAACCCTTTAAAAAGAAAATGCTTAGAAGACTCCTCAAAGGTCAACTTTGTTAAAGAAGTTGAAGGGAAGAAGAAATTCTTCTATTAGCCGGGAGGAAAGGATTTTCTATCTTCTTTCTTCGGATTTGAACAAAGCATATTGTAGTTTTGTGTTAAGTACCATTAAGATTTTTGAAAGTGTAAATACCCTTCTACAGTCAGCTTCACCAAAATCTCCCCTGCTTATCCAAATTCTTAATGATCTTTTGAAAGAACTTTATACTAAGTTTGTAAAACCGTCCGTTGTGAAAAACAGTGTGTTGATTCGTGTTGCCTATAATAGTTTGGCAAATCAAAAGGATGACAATGATCTTATAATTGGAAATCAAACCAGGGAACTTGTAAATTCTTTGAAAGATCATGAGAAAAAAGAATTTTTTCAATGTGTTAGAAAGTACTTTTCCTCAGCCTGTGATTACATAGTAAGGAAGTTTCCTTTGCAAAATGAAGTTCTTTTAAATGCTGAAGTGGCAAATTTGAAACAAATTGAAAATTCATCTTTTGAAAAGATTCGTTTTTTTTTTTTTTTTTTTTTTTTTTTTTTTTTTTTTTTTTTTGATAAATTTCCATTTTTGTTAACAAAGAAAATGAATGCCATAATGATGCTTTAGATGAACTACAGAACCAATTTTCAGCTGCACAGTTTGAAGACTTTGCCAGTTCTGGAGAAGATAGACTTGATGTCCTCGTTGGTACCTTAAAAAGAATAAAAAGAGCTGATGGAACACCAAAAATATGATAGACTAGCAAGAGTTTTATGTGCTATTCTCGTAATTCCACACAGTAATGCTGAGTGCGAGAGAGTCTTCAGTGTTGTGAAGAAAAACAAAACTATGTTTCGTTCTTCAATTTCACCAAAAACTCTAGAAAACATTTTAATTGCTAAATGTTACGAGGAAACTAATTGTTATGACATGAAATTTTCCAAAGAATTTTTGGCTAAAGCCAAAAAATGCACTCTAAATTCATTGCAATAATTTTTTTGTGTAACATTAAGTTCTTGTTTTATGTGTCCTAATAAATTTTTTAGTTCCTACTTAATTGAGATTTACTAATGTAAGTACCATTTTCTTTTTTCTATTTGTATAAATTGTTATTTTTTTAATATCAAAGCATGATATTAATTCTTCGTGTTCTTCTGAATTTTGGAGAAATCTTCTGGATTTGGGTTAGAAATCTTCTGAATTTTTATCTTTAGAGGTTGGCAGGTATGCGATGAGGAATGTTGACTTCCAATATTTGTTCCCCTTGGTGCCTTCTTATAGGGATGCAGTAGTTATGATGGGGTAAGTAAATGCGAGATTTGTCAATAAAGAACATATCACTCCATTTTTGTGTCTATGTGCATTACAGAATGCATCACTGAGAGCACTGATTCGTGTGCTGTAGCATCTAAATCAAGCAGTGACTCACCTTATTGACTTTACTTTGTGTTACATACATCCTTGCACTATAAATATGGGTATATGGTGCTGTGCAAGATGTACAATTTCCTAGCCAAGGATATGTGATGTGGCTACCGGATCTTTAACAGTAATACTGACAATATATCTGTCATATCAGGCATCCGAAATATTGCTCTATGTGGCCAGCTGGGAATCTTTGATTGGAAATACTTGTAACAGTCATTTGTTCCATAGCATTGTTAGTTCTGTACTAATATTGTTCTGTACCAATATTAGTGGTTCTATACCTTTTGCATGATACAGAAATTCACAGGTTTAGTTTCTCAGAAATCTCACATGATTGATTTCTGAGATGTGCTAGGATGAGTTTCTTCTCCCTCCTACATAGGCAAAATGAAACCTCCAACACACACATTAATGAGTAGATGCAGTTTTCAAAAGAAAATGGACAACTGCTTTTTTTTTAATACTGCTTCAGGCTGCTGTAACTCTTGCCTACAATGTGTACTTGCAGTGAAATGCTAATTATTTTGTATATCTGAGCATATTCTACCTTTCTTGCAGATTTCAGGTTTGTTATGCACTTTCGTCATGAGTAGAAATTATAAAGGTCAGCAGTGCATTTAAGGGTTTTGCAGAGTGTCCTGCTGTTATTCTTTTTATTTAATAATTAAACTACCAAATAGCTTAAATGAGAGGTTAATAAGGGATCATAGCTTAATAATATTAAGTGTAGAATATGCCTGTCTTTTTCTTGGCAATACACTATGTTCTTTCTGATACATGATGCTTCACATCTTTGTTATTTTTGGCTTAATTGTGGTGTTTATCCAGAGATCCTGACTTCTTAGTTACATAATTTTATGGCTTTTGTTTACATTGCTCTGATTCATTATGCCAGTAATTCTTGATGATAGTATTAATTTTTCACTATGTGTGATTATCTTTTTCTTTGTGGCTGAATGACAAATTACTGCAAGAATGGCCATTTTAGGCCACAACAATGCCATCAGCAGAAAACTCCTGCAATTTTCATGTAAAGTTTTATTTTTTTAATAAATTAGAGCATAACCAGAGCTTTTAACCAGATATTAAAAATTAATATCACATAGTAGTATTAATTGGGAATAAGTATTTTAAGGACTTGAATACATATTTGTTAAATATACTAATTTATAGAACAGTCAACAATAGATCTGCGTGTAAAGTTGGAGAAAACAATAAAATGATTTTGTTCTGAGAATTAGATTTTTTGGCAGTGTTTATCAGAATTCAGTCTTTTACTTTCTTAAAGCAACAGATAATGATTTTTTACTTTCTTAAGTATAGGAAGTATAGGGTTTTAAGTTATTGACGAAGGGTTGTATAATGACGTACATCATAATAAAAAATCAAGAATTTAAGGCTGGTCTTAGAGTAGCATTTGATTGTTTGTGCATCAAATAGTTTAACTTCTATTTAACTTTTAGTTAAATAGTTTAACTTTTTATCTGCTTAGATCTTTGAATATGTTTTATTCTAGGTTTAGGATATCATAAAGATCTTCAAACAAGAGCAGCATTTATGGAAGTTTTGACAAAAATTCTCCAACAAGGTACAGAATTTGATATGCTTGCTGAAACTGTATTAGCTGACAGATATGAGCAGTTGGTTCAACTTGTTACTATGATTGGGGATAAAGGAGAGCTACCAATAGCAATGGCATTGGCTAGTGTTGTTATGAGTCCACAAATGGTACATGTTACTTTTTTATGTTTAAACTAATAAACATATGCTTTCATCTTTATAGAATGGAGCCTCAGCTACCTGTTGAGGACCAAATAATTGATTTATATTTATTTTAAAAAATTAAGTATTTTTATATTAAATCATATTTTTTATCAAAGCGAAGATGAAGAAAATATGTAGTACATATAACAAGTGATTTTAATTATCAATTTCCCTCATTTTAATCTGTAGCTATAGCACTTGCTGTTACTCTTCTTTTAAAATTGTTAACTTTTCTCTTATTGAAAGCACAGTTCTTTTGATTATAGATACAATTAACAAGAATGATATATCTGCAAAGCAGATGTGTTTATCCAGACTCTCATACAAACAAGCTGAATAAAAGAAATTCTGAAATAAGTTAAATAGAGTAAATTACTAGAAGAAGAAGAATTATGCAAATCATAGCTATCCAAAAATTAAATTACTTATGAAAGAGCTATTAGAAGATTTTGAAGAATTTTTTCAACTTCATTGACACCTATCCAAGCGAATTTAAATGAAATTTAGGATATTTAAATGTTCAACTTATTGTATCAGATTTTATTTTGTAGTTTTATCTGTATATTTTCACATAGTTTATAAACTGAAATGTACTTTTTTTATCATAGGCTGCATTATAAAATGTAAATTCATAATCTATTGTTCATACATTACATTATTTCTATATAAAAAATACATGGTAAGTAGTTGCCCAAAAACTGAGCATGTAATTTGATAATGAATATTTCATTTCATCAGTTAATGCTGTGCTAATTTTAATACCTATTTATAGAATTTACTTAACTTTCTTTCTTTATTAGTAACGTTTATTCAGATATGGGAATTGCAATTATTAGCATTTTCAGTATTTAAATTTTTTGTAGCATAATATTGAATATCTAATATTTAAAAAAAAAAAATCTAATACCTTTTATTTAATTATTGTTTTTCATTTAGCCAGTAATATAGAAGGAAAATGATAAATTAATTGTGATTTTAAAATTGATTGATTCGTTAATTTGTGTTACAAACTCTGAGGTTATCTGATTTTAGGAAATATATCAAAGAGAAGTTTTAAATGGATAGAAATTAGATGAAAAACAAAAAGAGATTAAGACTGAATATGATCTGCGTAGAAGTATCCTGCAGATTAAAATATAGTGTGTTGAATTTAATAATTTGGGACTGTCATCATTCAAACAGTCTAAATCATCAAAGTGGGAAATAATTTTCATTTTTTTTTTTTAATGGTGAGAACTGTTTCTATCTGAAATATGATGTTAAAGGAGATGCATATATTACCATTTGCCATAAAATATTCTTTCTATGCAGACTGTTCCGCATCTTCATGGTAGTCATGCCTAAAAACTTTCAAATAGGCCATTTTTAGTTATTGTATTTTTCAGACGCCTTCACTGTCAGTAGGCTAAATTAAACTAACATCAAATTTATACTTTTCGCTGGTTTTCAATTTCAAAACGGTACATGTGCTTTGTATTTAATTACTTGAATTTGGTATCATTTTTAGAATGCACACTTTCAAATTATTTAATTTTTATTCTATTAATAATTATAGATATTGTATTTTATCTTTCATCAGGGGTGGGAAACTTAAAAAAATGGGAATGGAAATTAAAAAATGAGGAAATGATTTCTTTATTATAGGTAAATATGTAAAGTGTAGATAAAGTTTAGGGAGAAATATGTAAAACTTCCTTATTTTTAATTTGTCAGATTTCATATTTATTCATTTATTAGTTTTAAGGGAATTTACATAAAAATAATAATTAAGCAGAAATAAGTTATGAATAAGGTTTTAATGAATTGAAATGGATATTATAATTTCTAGTTCTATTGTTTAATACTGTATTTTTTTATGTAGCATTTTATGTTTGTACAGCCATAATAAACGTAAGTATAAAATTTTAAAAAAAATGCATTTGCATGTTTCCTTTTCTGCAGAATGTTTCTAAGTTCATAAACTTGATGTTTCAGGATGAACTAGCGAGGGTTTTTGTTACACTTTTTGATGCTAAGCATTTATTGGCTCCATTACTTTGGAATATGTTTTATAAAGAGGTACTTTTGCTATTGATCTATTTTTTCGTACAAAATTGTGTGATTTTGTCTTAATATTTTTATAAATTATCTGTTGCTTGTAATTTATGTATGTCTTTTAGATTTATATATTAAAAAAAAGGGGGGGAGTCCTCCTTTTTCCCATGAAAATATTTTGAAAATCTTTTTTGTTAACTCGTTATTTAGCATTTTTAATTCCTTTAATAAAATACAAACCTTTTTTTTTTTAAAAAAAAATTTCCTTGAATTTCTTTCTTTTTACTTCCTTGTACGAAGTAAAAAGGAAGTATTGTAATCGCGAAAAGTTTCAGGCAGCATATTTCAACGAAAATATCCATTTTGACCGCTATCGAATGCAATTTAACGATGTTTTTGCGTCATATCTGTACGTAAGGACAGAATAAAATACTCTTTTCCTTCAAAAAAATTATAAAACTGCTTTAATTCTGAAGAAAATTTTCATGGCGTCTGTACGAACGTATGTACGTACGTTCGTGCCTCGCATAACTCAAAAACGAGTAACGTCAGAACGTTGAAATTTTGTATATAGGACTGCTATAACATGTAGATGTGCACCTCGTATTTTTTTTACAATCGGCCGCACCAAACGTATATAAATATATTTATATATATATCCACCCTATTACCTGGCTCTGTGATCTCAGTTTCTTTACTCTTATATGTTTGTAAATTGTACATTTTTTGCTCTAAAAATGATTAAATTATGTTGTTTTTATCTTCCGGTTAAGGATTTTATGCCTTTAGTAAATTTGTGTGCAATATTTTTAGAATTATCAGCAATTTTAAAGTAGTTTAATTGCCGCTAAGCCTTTTTTTAATGGCGGCCATTGATGTTTACATTTGAAACAGGAGACTAGTGGATTTGGTGCCAATCTAGAGAAGCTTAGTTTCACAACGATGAAGATAACGCATTCATTTATTATTGCCAATTAAATCATGCTTAATTCTTTCTGGAATTTTTTCGAGGAAATAAGTGTTTGAGATTTACTTCGTAATTTTTAATATAGATATTTTGAGTTTTTATGTATTTTTGCCTTCTCGCGAAGTGAGAACTGAATTAATTAAATGAGAAATACTCAATCGTCTGTGAAAAACTGTTTCTGTTTTGTTTTGTTTGCTTAATTTCTTTTATACATAGTTCTAACTTTATTATAGTATTTGAATAGAACATGTGGCAACGATTAGATAATTCTTTAAATGATATACGTTTTGTGCATTCTGAGTTATAATATGAATGAAATATAATACTGTTAAGTAAACCTAGCGCCAGAGTGTCGCTATGGTAAACAAAGTGAATTTTAAAGAATGCATTTATTCTATCGTGGTTTTTGCGCTGTCGATGAAGTAGGTTTAATTCAATCTAATAAGTTTAAATAAAATGCAAGCAAAAATGCGTATAATTTAATATTCTGTATAAGGAAGTCATGTGGTGATTTTTTTTAGCCCATAGGGCCATTAGACTAGAAAAGTTATTAATCTCGAAAAGGCATTTTGCATCAAATCCGTTTTCAAATTGTTTCCATCAAATATCTTTAAAGAAATTAAGAATGTATGTTTCTTGCATTGTGAAAAAACAGCGATACCTAGAGCCATCAAATTTTTAAATAATATAGTCCTCCACCCGAATATGGGCACCTGGAAGCCCGAATCTTGAATTTTGAATTTGTTTTATTATCTATTTTATACTTCCTGAACTTTAATGAATTTTTAAGAAAGAAAGTCAACGATTTCAAAGCGAGCAGTGGCAACACACTGTACAGAATAAAATAGTTTTATTTCCAGTGCACGAGACTGTATATCAGAAATTCTAAAGATATGCTGTGTTTAAATATTTTTAACCCAAAGTGTCACTAGCCCAAATGCTGTCAGAATGTATATGTGTCTAAATGAGGGGGGCGTTCGGGCTTAATAGAAAATCTAAAACTTTCGCTTTTTTTTAAGAGAACAATATTTTAAATGTGTAGTGTGGTGGAACACTTAATTATTTTTTTTTCACATGTTTCAAACTCTGTTATCTCTTATTCTGGTATTTAAGTAAAATTAAGCTTTTTAAATTACTTATGTATTTTTACTTATTTATCTTTTGCCCAGTGAATCAAATAATATAAAAAAATAAATAATATAAAATTTATATGACATGTATAGAATGTGTGGGAAGACCTTATACCTCCAGGTTTGAGTATTGCTGTTTTATTTAGTATATAGTAGGTTTTCTTAAACTTTTCTCAGTCGCGACCCCTTTTTATCACTGTGGACAGTGATAAAACGTCCACAGTGGACCCCATAATATTTACAAAAATTTTGTGAGACCCCCATAAGTATTGCTCAAATCCAACATGCGCGTGAGTGAAACTGTCAATTTTTTTACTTGTACTGTAATATGCTATTGCAGTTTTAAGTCATTAACTTTAATTTCTAATTTTAAGACACAGAACAATATGAAAATTTAAATAAGTAACAGACGAAATGGCAGCGTTTCGTGCAAAGCATGGAAAATGAACATTTATATTATAAGAATAATGTGTCAAAACGTTCTCGTTTTTTTCTTTGTCTGTATTGTCTTATCTTTATCTATTTTTAGACATATTGTGTAAAAATATTTGGTAATTGTAAAATTATTGTAATAAGTTAAAGAAATATCAAAACTGTTAAAATTTTTGGCGAACTCCTGTTGCAAGTCGCGACCCACAATATAGGAAACCCTGGTATATAGGAACTATGTATCCAGTGGCTCTGTATGTGTTCCATTGTGGTATATATGTGTCTCCATGTCTTTCTTGACATTTTGTTGAGTATCTGATGGCAGAATTTTTTGACATTTTGCAGAATATTTTATGTTCTTTCTAAAGACTTTCTAACACTTTTACACAGTTCTTTATCTGCCCTGTACCAATGATGAGATAAAAACCAATGATTATATAGCTTACTATTTTTGTTAATTTTTACTTGTAAATATTCAAATGTATATTTCTCTTTTAACACTATTCATTGCAACTAAATTTGCTTATGTTGAAGTTTAGCGGAGCAACAGCTTTTTAGCAACTTTTTAGCGTGCGTACTAAAATTTATCTTCTAATTTCCTTAATTTTGCAGCACAATGCGCAAAATTTTTGACCACATAAGTCTTTTATCGTTTGTCCTTTATACTTTACTTTAAAATGTATATAAAACTAATATAACTGTTAACTAAGAGGATTATGATAATTTATTCTGAACCTTCAAAAGCCAGAATAAGTTGGATATCTTTTAGTTAAAGATTTGTAAATTTCATAAATAATTTTTATAAATAATTTAAATTACAAAAACTTTTTCTGTCATTCTATTCTCTTACTAATTAATGAGCCTATTTCATGTTTTTCTCAGTCTGGTAAACAGCCCAGTGAAGATACTTCCTTCCTTTTTTAGACCTATGCCAGAAAAGAATTAATTAACTTCTGTTTAATTAAATAAATTTTTGCCAAAAAAACTACTCTCTGATTACAACTTCACTAACATTAAGATTTTCTTGCCAATTTAATGCTATCATATTTCATAGAAAACAACACTTCGCCAACCACTTATTACGGCAACCCTATTACATTCCAGCACTAAATAGTACATTTACATTTCCAGCCATTGCATTTTAAATTTTGCAGACAAGCAAGTTAATTTTAATTTCCTTCCTGGCATTGTTCTTAATTTGTGTGTAAATAGCTACTTTAAGTTAATTTATTAATATAAAAGAATATATTAATTTTTATTTTGAAATTATATCTTAATCTATCAGAAACAATAAATTTTATTTTTACTTTCAATTTTGAGTTTGATTATAAAAGACTGTTTTAATCTAAAATAATATACTAATTTTACTTTTGATTTTGAAGTTAACATTATAATATTAAGGAATATATAAATTTTATTTTTACTTTTGATTTTGAATTTGATTATAAAAGAAAGTTTTGATGTATTATAATATATTCATTTATAAATTTTTCTATTAATGTCTTCTTATATATTGATTTGTACAAATATTGATCATTTTTTTTATTATTTTTACAATACTGTGAGGATGTTGGGGAATATTTTTTCTAAAATAAGAATCTTGTATAATTCGGTTCTTAACATGTACCTTAAATTAAGAAACATTTCTTACTCATTTGTATTTTAGTTTTTATTTATGATAAAAAAGAACTGGCTTAAGTAGACCTGTATCTTTTTAATAATTGAGTATTGTTCTTAGCTTATAAACTCTAACAAAATAACTAATTTGGTTCTTACTTGAAAAAAGGTGAAACACCCTCACATAATTTGGCTATTGTTAAATGATAGTAGATTGATTTCCCCCACCCCCCTCTTGGCAAGTCAATCTGTAATCAATAACAATAGCTACTTTTTCAGTATTTTGGGTTTTAAATTTAATATTTGGAATTTTTAGTCAAAGGATTTTTCATTATAGATATTAAATAATTTTTACTAATACAGATTTTAAATCATTTTTACTACAGTAGTAGATCTATATAACTTTGGATACTGACTTAAAAAGCTACTTAAAAATACTTACTAAAGTTTTTTCTAGTAATTCATAACTTTAATTAAATTTCTTTTCCTTGGAGATGATACCTTTTCTAATAATAATTTATACATATATATTTTTAAAAGTTGTGTAACATTGTCCTCTTTACTAGCTATTAAACAATGCCAAATGGGCAATTTTTGAATGTACATTTTGATTATAATAAGTCATTTTTAAAAATTAATTAGAAGCATTATTTAATCAGTTTCAGTCATCTGATTGAAAAATTACTGATATTCTTCTGGCTTCAATGGTATATCATTTGTTTAAAAAGGGAAAAAAATTAAAAGCTTGTGGTGTTATAATTCAAGTGAATATTTATAATATTGCATAATTTTTTTTTCATAACTGAAGTTTTATTTCCTAACACACTTTCTAATATTTCTTCTAGTTTGAATCGTTGTTTGCATTTGATTTTATATTTTTTATATATTTGGTAAAGTAATTCACTATTATAGGTTGAAGTTACAGATTGTATGCAAACCCTCTTTCGTGGAAATAGTCTAGGAAGCAAAATTATGGCATTTTGTTTTAAAATATATGGAGCAAGCTATTTGTTAAGTTTACTGGACCCATTGATAAGTCCATTACTGGACCAACCCAATATAAGTTACGAGGTTGATCCCGCACGGTAAGCATCTAATGATTTTTAGTCTGTTTTTTAAAAATTAAAGTCACAAGTGATAGTGTTTATGCTTATGTAATGCTGATTGAGTTATCAAGTGATGTAGTGTTATTGTATCGAACAACAGTGCTGAAAGCTGAATAATGATATAGTTTTACAGTAGTGTTTCAGTAGATGGCAATTGATATATAAGTAGTATTATTAAAATAAAGAACATGAATAGTTTGCATAAGGATTGACTTTATGCTTTTTTATTCTCCTGGGTAAAACTGCTTCATATTCATTTTTTAGACATGAAAATGCGTGTAGTTAAGTAAGAAATATGTGATTGCATGTTAAGCTTCATGACAATTCTTTAAAATGTTCTCTTTGTACAAGTAGTAGGATATTGTTTTGGCTGATACCAAGCCTTAAGAACTTTATTTAGTGCTAAGAGAACTATTGGAGAGGTGGAATTGAAATGCAAAAAGAATGAAGTATTTGATATGCTGTTTATAGAGCAACATTGTTCTGAATGCAACTTTATTGGATTTTATCATTAGTAGCATCCAGTTATCCACCACCACCACATTCTTCTTTCTTTTAATTCTTGGTACTTTAAAGTTTTATGTTATAAGGAAAAAATTGCAATTGCAGAAATTAATTTTAACACCAAAAATATATATAATTTTATTGAATTTTTTGTAATTTTCTTGTGTTGAGTAAAAGATTTTCCCTCCTCCAGACATTTTCATAAATTAGAGATAATGGTTTAAATGGTAAGACTAATCTGCAAAAATCTTGAAACTGAAAATATCCTCCAGATTTATTATTAACTTTTACTTTTTTGCATAAAATATGATTTATATAACCATAATTTAAACGTATTTTCTTCTTCTACAACACAGTCTTGAAGAAGGTGAAGATGTTGAAGAAAATAGACGAAATTTATTATCAATCACTCAAAAAGTGTTTAATGCCATAGTCTCATCAGCTGACAGGTGAATATATTATATTTATCTTAAAAGACTTTCTTTCTGTAGTTTTGTCTATTATTTTTTTAATTATTATTTTTCAGAGAAGCTGTTTTATGAACCTTATGTATTCTAGTTAAAATATGTAATATTTTTGGTGCAATATTATTAATTAACCATTTACTTAGAGTTTCATCCTTTTCCATTAGAAAGATTTACTTTGAAAAATACTTTGTATTATTTATAAAATATTTTTAGAAAAATGTATTGCATACGCTTTAGGAAATGTTTATCTGAGTGGTATTCAAATGCTCTGCATAAACACTTTTTTTTTTTTGGCTTTTTGTTTGTATGATTATTTAAAATTCTTAATGAAGTAATGGAATTTTATTTTCACAGTGAAATAATAATCATCTCTTCTGTACCCATTATCCTACAAGTTGAAACTTTCCATGATAAATGCTTCTTATAATCAGCCTTTTTGAACTAGTTGTAATAAAATGATGAAGTCTCTTTAGTGATACATTAGAATGATTTTAGAGAAACTGCAATACCTCTGTAGGTAGGCATTTTTTTAAATGTAAAGTAAAAAATCTAAAACTTACTTTAAAGATTTGGTTAGGCATATCCTTCAGTATAGGGGCAGAAAGCATCTGGTTCACATCCCCCAATCTGGTTAATAATTGATAAATCTACAATATTTTTTAACACATAAATCTAATAAGATTATGAAAGAGATGAAAAGGCGGCTAGTAGGACTTGTACATGTAACAAGGTGATGACAAGCTCATAAGAAACAGGAAGAGGTGGCTAACAGAGCTTTCATGTTTGTGCAGCTATGGGGCGACTTCCTTCAGTAACAGGAATATTACAGTGGTTTGGATTCAGTTGATAAGCAATATTCCAGTCAAAGTGGATAGTATCAATAACAAATGATCCAACCTTCGATAATGGAAGAAATCATTTTGCCGGTAAGAACAAAGAAGCAGAATAGTGGTCTGAGAGTCAGTTAGGAAGACAATTTTCATAAAAGAGACTGTAGCATCCAACTGATCTGTATTGTTGCATGTCCTTTAATTAATTTTACCGAGATTATTTACTGTACATTTATTTACAGTTATTTACAAGCCTAATGCCACTTGGCACATTCATGATACAACATACTAGTTTTCTACCACCTGGCAGATACAACACATTATCTCGTTAGCGGTATGACACCCGACATCTTTGTGCGTCTGCTTTCTTAACATTCTGTAATGCAACTATCTCTTTGCAAAATTTGCCTTCTGGTAAAAATCACTGCAGTCGGATTAGGCCAATCCCCCCACCTCCCGATGAATTACTTTCATCTCAATACAGTCTTCAGTGTATGCAAGGAAGTGAATGAAAAATAGAAATGAGTATACAAAAATCCTCAAAAAGTAGAAAATTACATATTACATTTACCAGTCTACTAGTAAAACAACTAAACGTTTTATAGCATACTATATTGAAGAATTAACTATAAGGGTTAAGCTAAAACTAACAAATAAAAATATTAATACAATAAGCAATATAAAAAATAATAAAACATATTCAGTATAAATCTGGCACTTTTAAAAACTAATGTTCTTCTTCATTAATTGGCAAAAGACATAATTTAGTAATAGAATGTTTTAAGGTCCCCGTGCACAGTTTTTAGTCTTACTACTCAGATAATGTTGTCTCTTCCAGGAAACACTTCTATTACTCGCCCGAGTTTCCAATGTAGTGAACCTATATTATCTTCTTTAACGAGAAATAAATGTTTTAGAGCATATTTTTGCTAAGCTGTCTCCATTTGCTGCCCTGCTGTAGTTGGCACAGGTAGTCTTTAGACCACCCCTTCTAAAACCCTTGAAACATCTGCTGTGTTAGTGGCCATCTCTGCAAAGGAGAGACTCGTAGTTCGGTTAAATCTTCTTCTGAAATAGCTATCAAAGGAGTCCTTATAATAAAGTATCCAGGAGTCAGAACTATCAAGTCATTGAGATTGCTGGAGACTTGTGTTATTGGCCTCAAATTTAAACATGCCTCAATTTGTGCAATTAGAGTTAGGAACTATCTGTAAGTCAAAATTTGAATTCCAACACATTTCTGTAAATGCAGCCTCATGGATCTAACAGCTACCTCCCGTATACTACAATGATGTGGAGTAGCTGCCAGGTTGAATATAGACCTAATGTTTTCATTTGATAGCCACCTCTGAAATTCTGAATTTGACTGGATAGAAGAAACTGCTTCCTTGAGGATTTTATTCAAACCTATAAAATTAATTCCATAGTCAGTTCTTATTTCTTGAAGTTTTCCTCTCTTTGAAGCAAATCTTTTTAGAGCAGCTACGAATGCTTTACTATATAAGTCACTGACAATCTTTAAATGGTAGCCTTTGTAGCTAAACAAATGAAAATACAGGCATAACACTTAATTGGTGTTATACCTCTCCCCCTTTTCATTTGCACAGCAAATGGGCGGTATAATATCTACCAACCGTTAGAAAAGCTTCTACTTGGAATCCCTCTACTTTCAGACAGTTCTCCCACTAACTGAGTAGATGTTTCTGCTCGTACTCTGCAACATTTTATACATTTCCAGATGTGTTTTTTAATTTCATATTTTGCATTTATTATCCAGTATTTTTGTTTTATTGCAGATAACAATAAGTGCAGTCCTGTGTGTAAATGTTTTTCATGATAATGTTATGTTATTAATTTAGGAAAATGAATATTACTTCACAATGTAATGGGATATTTGCTTTCACTGGTAATTTCTACATTTCTTAACCTACTCTTAAAATTTCATTCTCAATTAGAAATGGATCAAGTGAAATAATTTTACTTTTAGTTTTAATCGATTGTCCTGTCTTTAAAGCTTTGATTTCATCTTCAAATTTGTTAAGCTGAATATTTTTTATAATAAATTCTGAAGCTTTCCTTAATTCATAGGTGGTAAACATACCAGATTTCTTTTAACGAGCCGATATACAATTGTTCATGAAACACAGAACGTATGCCATTATTCCCAGAACTTTGTTTACATTTTGGTACAGTTCAAGGTTTAGTAATGGTTTTGTAGATTTCAAAAGTGTTTTCAAAGTGATACATTTTGGTTCTTCACTAATGTTTTGAAATTCAGCTTCGGTATTCATTTTGGTTATGTGACATCGAATATCTACTTCTGAAAGCCAAGGCGGCTCAGAAAACCAAACACTGTCATTAATTAGCATTCATCCCCCCTCATGAATTTGTCAGCGGGGATGTTTTTCCCACTCCAAAAGTACCAGTTGTTTAAATTAGTTTTCTCCTTGATCTCTACCACACAATTTCTAACAAATTGTTTCCACCTCAGTGACAGGTCCCTGTGTCCAGTCAATGCAAAGTTGGTAATCAATCCGGTAAAATATATTTTCGTTATCCAATAATGGAAATATCGACTGCAGATACGAACCTAATCATGTAGAAATTAATGTTCTCAAAAGTTCAAGCCTAGAAAATGTTACCTTTTTTAATGGAGCTAAAGGGGATTTTGACATTATGAAACATGTTTAACATTTGTTTTTCTTCTCAGATCTAAAAATATGCCTAAGTGCCATAACACTTGTCATAACACATCAGAAAATATGTGAACTTCTAAAAACTTCCAACACATATTACTGAAGTATTGCCTGGGAATTTCGAAAAACTTAATTTTTTCAACTTCTCTTAACCATTCTTAAAATATAAATTCTGTATCAAGAGGAACACTCTTGTCCCATTGAATACCCTTTTGCCACATAGTTTTGCATTAAGAGTTAACCATAAACGGATTCATTGTCCTTAAGGGATGAAACAGCATACCACATGCTGTTAAAATGGTGCGTTTAGTTATTGGGAAATGATTTTGTAACTTCACAAATTGAGAGATATTTATTTTTAAATTATCTTTGACATTGTCCCAGATAAGACCTAAAATCTTCAATGGTGTTAAAGAGTCTTCAGATATCTCACAACAGTCAACTTCATTAAGTTTCCATAGTTCATTCAGCCGAGATGAGTTTGAAACCCATCTACGTAAATTCATGCTGCCCTCACTGAATGAAGATCATGTCTTTACTTCAATATAAGGTTTTTGAGAAAAAATAATATCACTAGAAAATTGAATGAGATTCTTAAATGAAGAACATGTTGTCCAGCTTTTCTTATTTTTATTCACATCACATACAAGAACATATTAGACTGAAAAAATCGAAGCGTAATTAATCCTAGAAAAAGGAAATAATAAGCTAGCCTAGTAAGTAAAATATCCGTTACAGAATTCTACAGATTTCTTTTATAAACAGTTACTGCAACACCTGCCAGGAAAGAATTTAAATGACTGCAAATCACGCTGACTGATCATTTTATTTTTAATAGCCTCTGCTACGCTCTTTTAACATACTGCATGCCTTTTCGTAGGGATCTTCATACTTTTTTTATGAGGTGAGCACTTGACCCCAAAAGGGTCTCAATTATGTTAAAGTTGGGATTGCTGTGAGATTTGACCCTTCTTCATTTATCCACAGAATCTTTAAAAAATCCCTATCTTCTTTAGCTACGCCTACCTCTAAAAATGTGCGTTGAATTTCAACACAAAACATGATTGAATGTATCCTGAATATAATGGTAATCTTCAGCAAGTTGGGATTTAAATTTGGTCCACTAAAACAACCATTAAGTGATAACCTTTCCTTTAATAAGAAGCATCAAAAACTATTCACACTTTTGTAGAATTCTTCTCCTTGCAAACTACAACATGATGAGGTACCATTCAAATACGTATTTGCTCATTCCACTGTACCATCTCTTAAATGTTCATTAATTATATCATTGTATTTTAAATAGAGCTCTCTATTTTTCTGAAACTTGTTATTTAAACCTAGCAAATGCTATTTCGCAATTTCATAATTATTATTTAAACCTTCAAGAAAGACCCTCCTTCCACAATAATCGAGTCTCGTACCTTTTATTGTCATACGTTATATTTTGTTCGAA